TCTTCTGTGGGCTACAGCCCACTTCTTCGGATGCACGAAAGCTTATGCTCCAATAAATTTGTTAGTCTCTAAGGTGCCACAAGTATTCCTGTTCTTTTTGTCGGATACAGACTAACACGGCTGCTACTCTGAAACCCGTATTATCTTAGTATCTGAGAGCCTCGCAATCTTTAATGTATTCATCCATACAACACCTCAGTGAAAAAGTGAAGTAGTATCCCCATTTTACAGATGAAGAGCTGAGGCATGGAGAGACTAAATGACTTGCTCAAGGTCAAACAGGAAGTCTTTGGTGGAGCAGAGAAATGAACCCGGCTCCCCAGGCTAACCAATGGACCATCCTTTCTCTCTAGAACATGATGTTTAGGCCACTCAGACACACATCCGCAGCTCATGATCCATCTCAGATTTGCATTTCCCCAAGATACTATGTAAGAGCTAAGAGGTTCAAAAATATGATCAATCTTGGAGGAATTGGAATGTATCTGAACAGATAAACGGAAGTTTTACTGCTTATTCATGAGCTTCCTTAAATGTAATCTCCACACTCTAACTACAAAAGAGCTCATATCCTGCCTCGTTGCCACCCTGAGCAAAAAGGAGGAAAGTTCTTTCCTCAAAGTTTAACCTAATCAGAGACCAATTTAGAGGTTCAAAGGGACAAATATCCAGAGAGAAGAGTCTCGCACATCTCTGCTAGCTTAGCCTGCCTGAGTCATTTGATCTCCTAGAACAGGTGGGTGCCTGTACTATCAGATACATCCATTTCCTTACAGAATATAAAGTCAACCCAGCAAAGTAATTCATTCTCTCTAAATATATACATCACTCTATTCATCCATGAGTAACAATGTCATTTTATTTTATTGACACCTTCCTCCACATGAGCAATGGCTTTGAAATCAATGAAATGTAAAATCAATGTTGGAATGATTTATCCCACCCCAGAGACAATTGACCCTGCAATGGCTGTTGGCCTCGAGTGTAATAAATTCAATATACCATTGATCCTGTTTACTATCCCTATGGGAAATTTTAGCTGTGAACTCAGTTTTAATATCTGAGACCAGCAAGTGAAAAGGCAGCCTGAATAATAGAAGGCAAATCAAGGCACTGTCTATTCATACACGTATGAGTCTTACAAACATGAGACCATAACACTCTGTTCTTGTTACTAACATGGGCCAGTGCTTTCAAATGTGGATATCTGAGGCCATGCATCTAAATGTATATGAAGTCACATAAGTAAGTGACTTGATTTTCAAAGTGCT